CTCGAACTCGTATAACGGTTCAGTTCGAGTTCGGTTCGAACTTCGAACCTTTCTTGAACTCAAGCCAAAGTCCGGTTCGGTTCGGTTCATAGGAACACTAATCACTGGTATTTATTCACATTATCCAACGAGCTTAACTTTTATCTATATTTAAAGATTATAAAGTAAATGAAAATGATATATGTATATAAAGCTTTTCTTTAAACTTACATTATACATCTTGCTTGTCTTTTTTGACTGTTTTCAGCATAATAGTAGATATATATAGTTTGTAATAGTAATAAATAGTAAAGTCTTTTGTCTTCTAAGTAAAGTATGTCAGGTTCTGGATTCTTTGGAGATTCTTTTGCATAGTGAATATTAACGTTCGTTTAAAGCTAGGAATGGTTTTTACGATGATTTTATATTAGTGAAACATGACGTTATCAAAAAGTACTTTAAAGTATATAAATATGTTATCCGGACAATCCCGGACAATTGAATTTCTTTCTATGACTAGCCATGGCAAAAAGGTGTCGGGTCACGTGATAATAAACCAATCCAACCAATAAGAACGCGCAAAAGTTATGCACAACCAATAGAAATGTAGCAAATTTTTGAACAACTCGACAAAACAAATCCGACACAAGAAAATGAAAAAAGACAAAAAATGCGAAAAATACAAAAAACAGATATCTAGATCTAGCTTGACGCATTATCAAAAAATATTGAGAAGCCATTTTATATATAATCTTGATCTCAGATCTAACCCTAACCCTAATACTTGATATCTAATCTTAATCGGATATTTTAATGGACCTATTTCAGATCACATGACTCGACACCTTTTTTGCAAATACGAGAATTTTTTTATATTAAATTGTTGAAAGAAAAATTGGTTTTGTAGCAAGCTAGCTAAAAGAAACTGACTGCATGTGAGTATTTGCCAAACAGGATATTCTATCAACATGCCATAAATGGCTTAGTTATAGTGAACCAACTTTATTTTTGGTAGTTGTCAATGAAATTTAAAATTTTGCAGAAAACGGTAAATTTGATTTCGATCACTTACAGATTCGAGTGTGTAACTTTTTTAGGTGTTGCTATGAGCATAGTGAAGAAAGATTTAGTCATCACGATCATCAATAAAAAACGGCTTCTACAAAAAGTTTGTTTATATAGTGAGTTAGCGGGAGGGATATCGGTTGTTATCGGACTTTATTTGCTTATTTATTTATCTCATAATATTTGGTTTCGACAAAGAGGGAAACATAAGAGTAAACAGAAAGATTTTATTCTTAACTCATTACAATAGTTTTTCTCTTATTTAGTGTGACGTATGTGCATAGTAAGCATGCATATATACATTCATTGCGGAAACCGTGACTATTTGTCTTCATTCTATCTATCCCATTTACGTCGTCTATTGTGTATGTGGGTAACAGAATTATCTTACGAATCGCTCTCACGTAATGAAAGCGCTCGAACATGGACTTGACACGTCTCGGGGATTGGTGAGACGAATATCTTGCAGTCGGGCTGTTGGCAGCAGTGGAGCTGACGATAAAAACAACGGTTATGAAAATAGTTGTAATGAAAATAAAAATTTAAAAATTGATAGCACAAACATTAATAATAATGATATTAAAAGAAGAGAAGAAAAAACAATAAATAATAAAAAGAGAAATGTGAAGCGTCAAGTAAATTATGGACCACCAGGGAATTTCGATAAGGGATTTCCTCCTTCTCCACCTCCGCCCCTTCCCCCTCCACCTCCGCCCCCTCCGGTCTCGCCGCCTCTTATAGATTCTCCTATTACTCAATCATCATCATCACCTGATGAAAATGAAAATTATAAAAATACAAATAAAAATAAAGGTAATTTGCATTCACATAGACAATTAATTTTTCCTCAAAGTGACTCTCAAAGTTTCTATGTAAAGGCTTTCAATGGTGGTGATAGAGATACTGCTCTTATATCAAATGACGGACAATCATTACCATCATTAACAATACCTTCAGCAATAATTCCAATGATTTCACCAATAATTCCGATGATTTCACCAATAATTCCAATAATTTCATCAATATTATCACCTTTATTGCCCCCGCCAGCCTCACCAACCCCACCCCCGTCATTATCATCACAATCCTTATTGTCTCCTATTTTATCTTCAGGTTTAATAATTCCCTCCGCAACAAATGCTCCTAGTTCTATATCCATTTCGACCACTATGCCTACTACTACCACTACTTCTTCGTCAACAGTTGAACTAACAACTCGTACCACAATTTCACCTGCTGAGAACGGATCACTTCCCACTTCTCTAGTGACATCATCTACCACATTTACCGAAAATAGTAGTGAATCGGACGATTCTGATGGTAAAAGTAAACTGAAAGCGGGAATAATCAGTGGAATAGTTCTTGGAATTCTGGTCATTCTACTTTTTGTCGCTTATTTTGTATATCGAGCAATCAGACGACGTAGAAAAGGTAAAGGGATTGTGCGTTTGTCGCAAGATCTCGAGACAACTTATATGCCATCTATGACGCATGCGATTCCAGCACATCCTCGACAACAACGTCCTGAACTAGAAAATAACTTGGATTCACTGACAAAACCTCTTTCTTTGCTTGGTCTATACAAAAACCCAAGTACATCTTCATTTATTGAAGATTTCAATAATACAGCATATGGAGCAAGCACGAGTGGAACATTTAATCGTGATGCTGCTGTTGGTGGTATATCAAGTGGCAGTGGTATAAATAACAGTGGTGGGTTTTTGTATGGTGAGACTGTTGCAAATATCGCATCCCCTGCAAATAATTCTGGTTCTGGATCGGGTCTTAGAAGATCTTTTAGCGCACCTTCTTCACCCACAAGTGAAAAAGTTCAAACGGTCCAAGTAGGAAATGTGCCATCTTCTCTCCCTCAAATTGAACAACAATCTCCACTCGGAAATCCATTCCTAGAAAGTGTGAATCCATTCAGTGATAATTTGGAGGAAGATGAATTGGAAGATGAATTCCAAGATACCTCGGAAGGACCTGAAGATATAGGTGACTTTCCAAAGCCTCCAGAAAGAATTAACGATGCGAGTAGACCTGTTTCTTTATCTTCTAAAACCAACAATGATAATGCATGATAATGATAACAATTACTTATGGCATCATAATGATGTTCATAGAATACCTCTCGGCCAGAATATTGTAATTATTAAATTGGTGTGTCGGGTTTGGGTCGAAAATTGATAGGATTCTTTTTTTATTTTATAGTGAGTTGATATCTCGATTCAATTTCTATTCATACGCATAGCGCATTGTAAATTTTGTACATGTTTTTTTTAAAGTTAAATTTTGTTAAGGATCTAAATTGAAAATAGATTAAAAAGAATCCATCATCTTGATTATGTATCTCTAAGAATTACCAGTGTTGGATACTGGATTAAGTTCAGTTCAGTTCAAAAATATTGAACAAATTGGACTGAATTATTGGAAATATGTCTAATTTATTGCAATATTGCAAAATAAATTAAACTAGTTCAATGAACCAGTTCAATTTTTCATTACAAATTTATATACTTGAAATGAAAAAAATTCATTTTTTTAAAACCAATTAAAAATAGTTTAAATTTAACAATTTAAAGATCCAATAATCTACTTTAGTTCAATATTTAAGTATTATACTAATATTAATTAAATAATTAATAAATCAATATTTTAATTATATATTTTATTAACAAATAAATAATAATTATAATTTTTATAACAAAAACAAAAACAAAATAAATAAATAAATAAATTATATATATTCAAATATATATAATAATAATTAACAAAATTGTGAAATCATACATATGATTTTATTAATAAAACATAATAAAAATTGAAATTTTTGTTTTATATAAAAATTTTTAATTTTATATCAAATTAAAAATTATAATTTATATTTTAATATTTTTTATAATTAAAATATAAAATTAATTTAAATTTAAAAAATTCAAAAAAAATATATATATAATAACAATTAAAAATAATATAATAACAAAAAAAATTAATAAAATATAATAAAAATATAAAAAATATAAGTTTTTCTTTACATAAAAGTTTTTAATTTTATTAATAATATTTTTTATTTTTATATCAAACTGAAAATAATATTATATATTTTAATATATAGTGACTAACAAAATTATAAAATTATATATGTAATTTTATTAATAAATATTTTTTATTTTTATATTAAACAAAAAATTATAAGTTATAATTTAACCTATATTTTTTTGAATTTTTTCTGGCAAAATAAATTTAATTACAAAGTTATTATAAAAATTTTTTATAATTAATTTTATATTTTAATTATAAAAAATTTTTGCAATAATTTTATAATTAAAATAACTTGTTAGAAAAAAAATCTAATCAAAAAAAATTAAAAACTTTTATATAAGACAAAAATTTCAATTTTTATTATTTTTATTAATAAAATTATATGTATAATTTTATAATTTTGTTAATTATTATATATTTTTTCAGATTTAATTTGACAAAATTATTCTAATTATATATAATAATTTTTTATAAAAATCTAAAAAATATTGTCACTGTTTTACTTAATTTTTACTTTTAGCATATCTTTTTATATGCTTAACACATATTTCAAGTCAAATGGGAGAGATAAGATAAATAACTAAAGATAATAATATGTATTTATTAAATACTAGTTAATTAGAAAGTGACTTAAAAAATCTTCTTATAATTTAATATATATATAATATAATAATTATAATAATTTATAAACAAATAAAATATTATAAATTTAGTTTATTAAATTATTTTAACAATATAATATTATAAATATATAAGAGATCAACTATAAATATGACATTATAAATATATAAGAGATCATAAGAGATTATAATATATTATTAGTAATACAATATTAAAGATAAATTTATGAGCAATGTATTGTCAGTAATATAATCTCAAAGACAGATTTATAAATTATAATAATAATTTTTTTATTTAATATAATATTTAATAGATTTCATTACAAACATATTCAAATAACCTAGTATTAAGATAATAATTTTTATAGCACTCCTAGTAATATTGTTTAAGCTACTATTATAAGTTTATTTACTAATTATTAAATTAGCTTACAAACTCGAATCTGGATTGAAAGAAAGTGAGTGATAGACTGATAAAAATATTAAAATAAAAGGAAGAAGTATTTAAGATCTATATCAATTTCTATGAAAATTATATTTATTTAAAAAGGAATAATAATATAGAAGAGTTATAGAAAAGTAAGAATTAAAAGAGAAGAAAGAGTATAAAGAAATAATAAAGAGAATTCAAAAGAGTAATTCTCTGTACTTGCGTAAAGTTTTTTAAAGCTAAGATAATAATTAGTAATAATAATAACAAAGACTCTTTTACTTTGTTCTTCTTACAAGTGAGAAATATTCATTAATAATTAAAAATTCAAATAACAAAAAGTAAAATACTTATAAT